ATATATATATATTAGAAAAAAAATGATTAATTCAAGAGAACAAAAAATTGAAAAGCAGAATTCAAAAAATAGAAAACAAATGGTTACTTGAAAGTACAATACATATACTTACATAAAAATTACGGAGATTTTGATTTAAATGTTTTTTTGATGATACGTGACCATGGAAATGCTCGTCTTCGACTGTATAAACAATCTTTGATGGAATTTGGTCACAGGTGTTGTAATTTTGGATAGAATTGGATGGAGATGTGGGTGTGTATACAAATAAGCATTTGGCTCAAGATTTGATCAATTTTGGACAGAATTGGATGGAGACATGGCCGTGGGTACAAAGAAGCTTTTTGGTCAGGATTTGATCAGATATTGGAGGTACGGGATTGTGGAGTGGGATGAGAAGATGTTTGAGCTAATGGTCGAGTGAAGTAATGAATTAATGAAAGGGAAAAAAAGAAAGACAATGAGAAATTGCGACACGTGTCCAACTAAAGTTTCGCTCTTTTATATATATAGGATTTAGGAATCTTAATGGATGTTTAAATTAATGTATTAGCAATTAATTCTTATGTATCAAATCTAGAATAAAAATGTGGCTCATTTGTAATATTTCATTATCACAAAAAATTTGAATCACAAAATGTTGCTAATTTGAAAGTACAATTTTCTTCTCTTAAATTTCTATTATAAATTTTATTTTCTTTAATTCGTTTGAGATTCATCAAATCCTCTCAACAAATTAATATCAAATATTATTTTTATAGTAATTATATAGTATTTTTTGAATAACGTGCAATGTATGTTCAATTTTGACTAATTATTTAAAAATCACTATTTAGCTCTACTGTCCTCAAATAATGGTTGTCAAATCGAGGTTAATTTAATGGTTGCCAAACGAAAACAAAGAGCCAGTTTGATGCTACTTTTTTGCAAAAATACATTCTGAAATAATGATTTGATGAAAATTGTGTGAAAATTAGTTTATAATATTATTTTATTAAATAATATATGGTTGAAAAGGAAAGAAAAAAATATTTTAAAAATAATGGGAATCCACCAAGTCAGAAGCAGTGGATCGAAGAAGTGGAAGGGGTATTTCCGTCATTATGTTACACGTAGCACTCCAATCTGACGTGTCATCATTTAATTCGTCTCATGACAAATCATAGAGTGAAATTCCCACAATAGTCCTCATCCCCACTGTCCAACACTTCACCCTCCTCGCACGAAAACAAGTGAAAAAATCGAAACAAAAGCACCAGAAAATGAATTCAATGAAAACCCGAAAGCAAAATTAAATAAATCATCCCTCTCCACCCCCCCCCCCCCCCCCCCACCACAACAACCCCTATATAAAGGGGGTGAACAGATCGGCCTCGGCTGCTTTCGCGCCGGAGGGACCGTACATGGCGGCGGGGACAATGGCCGGGGCGGTGGATCTTCAGTTCAGTTCCTCCGCGAGTCTCGACATCTTTGAGCTCGACTTTGTGTCCGACGATCGTCAGCTGATTTTGGCTGGCACGGTCCCCAGCTCCGAGCGCTTCAATCGGATTTCCTGGGGAAAGGGTCCCGCCAACTCTGAGGAGTTTCCGCTTGGCCTCATTGCTGGTGGCCTGGTAGATGGCAACATTGGCCTTTGGAATCCCAACAATCTGATCTGGTGAGGTGAATTGGGATGTTAATTTTGTTTCATTAACAAAAATTTACAAAATCTTGTAATTTCTTATTTGGATCAATAATTTGATGATATATGCTAATATATTGTTTTTGAATTTGAGTAACCGCGGATTTGATAATTTCCTCTTTTCTTTCCTTTTCTGTATCAAGAATGCAGGAAAACATAGCTTTTATGGTAGTTTATTATGGAATCATAGGCATCATATATTGTCTCATATGCATAATGCATTTGGTTATTGTTACCTCAAATTCTTCAGCAGTAGTGAAAATTTTAAATTTTGTGACTGGTGAACGATCACTCTATGTCTACTGAATTGAGCTGGAAATTCTGCAGCATTTTCTTTCAAGTAGAGTCTCAATGGCTTACAACATTTTGAAGGAGAATTGTTTTGTGGAATTTTGAATGTGTGTTGCATGATCTAATTCTGTTATTCCTTATTTTTTCTATCATATTTCCTTCTCTTGTTAATTATATTTGTATAATTTGAACACTCTAATATAAGGTATTTGTTCTAGTACTGTGTAATGGCATGCAGAAGCTATTCTTTCTTAGCTGCCTTTGCCAACTTTAGGATTGTCACTTTTTTGTTTCTCTTACTTGTCTGTCGCTAGAAAGTGCCTACTTCATTTGTACACTACTTTGGTCATGCTTGGCACCCAGATTCTATTTTCCATTTCACTGTTCTAAGCCTCCAAAATTAGAATAGGAGAATTTTATTATTTATTTTAATTTATGATCCTATGTACTGAGTCTCTTCAAGAATTTTGCTGAAATCACAAATTTGGATTTTATATTGCTCGACTTCTATTTAATATGCTGCTGTTTTTAGATTTTCTTTGATAAGTGAGACTATTCTTGTTTCATAAGGTCTTAATTGCTTTTCTTGGTATGCTTCTCTTAGTTCTGACACTAAAAAGGGTTCTGAGACAAGTGAAAGTGCTTTGGTTGGCCAACTTTCTAAACACAGAGGGCCTGTAAGTGTTTTTGTTGTTGTATTGTGCTTGCTTCATGCATTTTCTTTGTTTTGATTTATTTCCTATTTGATGGGTGGTGGTAGAATGATTTCTTTAACTTACCTCTCACTTCAGGTTCGTGGATTGGAGTTTAATGTTCTTTCCCCAAACCTCCTTGGTTCTGGGGCTGATGAAGGTGAAATATACATATGGGATGTCACTAAACCATCAGAACCAAGTCATTTTCCTCCTCTAAAGGTGTGGAATAATGTACCAATGGAAATTTTTTATGAAGGTTATTATGTCAGTTATTACACGTGAAGTCTTCGTGCAGGAAACCTGTTTCCTCTGATTGAGTTTTAAATTGGCATAAATGCTAAATATACTTGAGAAGTGAACTAATGATGCCAACCATCATAGCTTCCTACATAGTTCCTTGCCAATCTGTGATCTCCACATCTATCATTTGTATGCACAATTCTTAAATTCAAGTTCTTAAGGTTCATTTTTACATTGTAATTTGTGAGGGAAAAAAATTCGGGTAGAAGAGTACAAAAGTTGTATTGTAAACTAGTAGTTGTCGCAGTGCGTTTGGTACTCCATCCAGACTATCAGTTCCTCTCTATTTTTTTTAGGATTTTCCCCTCTTTTTGAGGGAAGAGTGGGGTGAAGTTTTGGAAGAAAATGGATTTATTATTATTATTTTTTTAAAGAAGGTCTACATCATTAAAGAATGTTAAAGCCCTTGAAGGTAGCTAGCGAAATTGGTTCATGGCTAAGCTGGTATTTTATCATATTATGGGTGCAGTGACCGATTTTAGTTATTACAACAATTACTATGTTAGCTTGGATTTTAATACTAAGTATATCATAATTTAGCATCAAAGTTAATGTTTTTTATGTGAAGAGTTAATTATAAGGATAATGGGAAGTGTACTTTTCTCTGACTTTTTCCTGACAAAAGAACATTTCCCGCTGAGAAATGAATTATTAATATATGGGAGTGAGCAAAGAGTAAAATAAGATTCCTGGGGTTTTTCAAGGGAAAGTCCTACAAGCGGGTTCCATTTTAGAATTTATGTTATCACAGAGCCACGATATGCTTATCTTGGAGGCGCCCTCTCTATTTTTTCCACTCAATATTTTTTACAGCTATTAAATCTGATAAATTCAGTATATGTAATTTCTACTCGACAAGAAGACATGGCTCAGGTCCAAATATATCTCAGTTAAGTTGAAGTTACAATGAAACATGGTGGAAAGATAATACAAAACAGAAATAAAGTGACCTCTGATATCCTATTGCAACCTCTGCAAATTCATATCCAAGTTCAGCAATTGGCCTGACTCATGGTTGGGGGCTACGACAATTTGTTCACATGTCAATGTTAGAAACCCTTGGCTATTGACTTCACAATGTGCACAAGCACACACTAAAAAATATGAGAGAACGGGAAAAGCAGTATGGCTCTTGCATTTTCTGATGTACTATTGTCTCTAAAGTAAAGAATATATACGATGTAAATGTATGAGCTGAAGAATCTTGCAAGACCTTGACTGTGACGTGTTCTATTTTCTTGCTCCTTTGAAATTAAATTATTATCTTGGGGAAACTGAAAATGAATTAACTGATTATAATAAATTTTCATGTGGAAACATTACAGTAAGTTGGGGTATTGAAAAATTGGGCATCAAAAGCTTGCTTACGTATATCTATTTCGTCTCTAAGAGGGTATTCGATTTAATCTGTAAGGAAGATTTATTAGCTTGACAGAAACTTTTTGGAGATAATATTCAGTAACGTTGGGCTTATCTCTTTGGGTCATTAATCATTTTTTCTGTGAAAAAGATGAGGTGACAACAAAATCGATGACTATTAATAGGTTTTTACAATTTGTGAAGTCAAGAAATTATTGCTAGTTCTGCTAGGATGGGGGAGCTTGTTGATGTGTGATCTTTAAACTTATATTGCAAGTCAAGGATTGTTTTCCCCATATGCTTGTCAAGGTTGGAAGGTGATATGAAGTACAATGTACCCTTTTTGTGGGCACCTGTCACTCTTGATTATGTGTCAACGACAGTGTTACCTGTCTGTATCTTAAAAAAATTTTGATCTTAAAGGGAAACTGCTTATTTTCTAACCTTGTACTTTTGAAGTTCAATGTTTTCTCTGAAATTTCATGTAATTGATGGGCGAAATTCACGGAAGTCTCTTTTTATAGGTTTGCAGCATCCTGAGATGGGAATTCTAAACTATCTTTAACACTATAGTTAGTCTGAATTATTCCATCTCGTCACTATCCTTCCATATCGAGTAACTGCCATTTTTTCAGTACCCAATGAAAAAATAGGGCAGTATAAAAAAGGGCATGCCATTTATATATTGCCATTTGACTAGCAAAGTAAAAGTGTTCTATTCATTTATAAGCATGGGAAAACATTAATTTTGCCAGCATTAATGGGGTTCAATTAACAAATGTCACTCTATGCTTGGATTTTCTTTTGATACTTGAATTTTGCATGCTGCTTCTTTTGTTATGATTATACCTGTGATATCTACATGATGAAACTCACTTAGCTGTTCTGTGCAGGGTAATGTATCAGCTACTCAAGGTGAAATTTCATTTTTGTCCTGGAATAGCAAAGTTCAGCATATACTGGCTTCCACTTCATTTAATGGAACAACTGGTAAGGAGATTTTTCAGTAATATCTAATATGTTATTCACTTTACCTATTCACTTTTGTGTTAAAAATATTTCTTTGTAATTCCAGTTGTCTGGGATCTGAAGAAGCAAAAGCCAGTCATAAGGTAAACTGCTTGCCATCAAATGTTAGTCAATGAACTTAATGGATCTTTAAATACTGAGAACTATTCACCTCCTTTCTGAACTTAAATTTGCCAATTCGCAGTTTCTCAGATTCAATTAAGAGCAGGTGCTCTGTCTTGCAGTGGAATCCGGACGTTGCTACTCAGCTCGTAGTCGCTTCAGATGAAGATAGTTCTCCTTCTCTTAAGGTAATGAGTTTGTATTGATCTTGGTTTAACGACTTGACATAAATTTGAATCTGCTCAACTCGCTACCCTTGCAATTGGTTAATTCTTGTGTACAGCTCTGGGATATGCGGAATGTCATGTCTCCGGTGAAAGAATTCGTAGGTCACACTAAAGGTATACTAGTAATTAATAATTCACTTTTTATGTTTCTCAAGCTGATTATGTAGTGATTAATTTTCCAGCTATGAAGCTTTCTCAAATTGATTACATTTTCTCCTATTTAAGAGAATTTTATCTTGCCCATCTTTTTATGATCATCAAGTGATAGAAATCAAATATTGCTATTGAGGGTTGTAATCTCCTTCTCACATGCACATATAGACAAACAAGCACACTCTTCCCCCCCTCTCTCTCACCCACACACAGGAACAATACACTGAGAGATGCAAACTTCGAGGGTTGTATTGGAGGTTTTATTTGATGTCCACTTGAAGTGAAACTAAACTATATATATTACCTGTTTCTTTCACACCCTCTTCCCCTGTGCCCGAAAAGTAAATAAAATATAAAGACTACAGTCCTTGCTCATTGATCTAGTTGTGATTTTTGGCAAATTAATTTCGATCAAATGAGATTTTGGTCCTAGATGGAAAAAATTGGGTCCAGTTTGCTTTGCCCGTCATATTCCTTTTCCCTCGGCCTCATTGAAGCGTTATATAGTTTTTGGGTGTTGTAGAAAGTGGAAGAAAACAGTTTTGAGTTGCCTAACATTGGGTTCTTTTGTCAAAAGAAAAAAAAGGAAGAATTTTTTATTCTCAGAGAAATGAAGTAACGAAAATTGAACTAATTAAAATCATAGGTCTGACTAAATTTTTTACATGGGTACCATCCAAAACTTTGGAACTCAGGAAAGCCCACCTAGTTACATTCAAGGATGAGAAGATCTAGAATAGTTTTAAGTTCTTGTAACTGGAAATTTATGTAGGCTGCCCTAGGTTATACTATTATATGGGTCATTCCTCATAGAACTGAATGAAATGCTAGTTTTTCTTTGTTTCTTTGTTTTTTAATCAATTATCACAAACATATTTGTCCAGGCGACTTTTTAATTCACTACAGCAAATCCACTACAATGAGAATTTTTTGGGGTTCTAAATCAAGAAAAAACTATAAGTACATACCTTCAAGAATTACAAGTCAATTATGTGCTTTGCAAAAGGATGGGAATTGGCTGAACGTTTGAAGATATTGGTTACTTTTCAAAAACTTGATGCTGAATACTCTTTGCACCATAAACATTTGTTGAGTTCATTTGTCACACGAAATAGGGGGAATGATGAGGAGGGCTCATTTCATTTGCTAGTTTGGGTTTAATAGGAATAAAGAAAAGAAAGCATCCTTTAGTGATTGGAAAAATTAAATGTCGAATATTGCAGCGTTAATTTGTTGTTTTATTTGTTAAGACTGAATAAACAACAATATGACTGATGTACAAAAGGATTTCAAGCAGAGGAACAAATTTTAAGAGCCCCGAAGACAATAATAAGAATGATATGATATGTTTATTCCTTACCTTCATTTTCACCGTGCTCTTTACTAGTGAACTGAACCAGAAGCTTTTAGCTGGTGGTATCTATCACCTTTTCTTTCATTTGATTCTGTGTTAGTTGCTTGAAGTGTGAGTTGTATCTCCTTATAATTTTGGCACATACAAGATTTTCATTTGAAAGTTATTCTTATCAGTTCATTCCATAGTTCTGTTTGGAGCATTGTTTTAAAGGCATTCATTAAATGCCTTGATGCCCTATAAAAAAAAAAATATATATTAAATGCCTTGAGTGCCAATGGCAAGGCTTATGCCTCAACGCTAAACTCTGGGTGTTTGATATTTGTGCTATTTGGTTTCCTTTCCAAGGCTTTTCATTACTAACCTGAGCTTTTTATGCTATATGTTTTACAGCCTTGAGAAAAAGAGGGGGGGGGGGGG